GGTGACACTGCAGGGTGTTGTGAGTGTGTGGTGACACTGCAGGGTGTGGTGAGTGTGTGGTGACACTGCAGGGTGTTGTGTGTGTGTGGTGACACTGCAGGGTGTGGTGAGTGTGTGGTGACACTGCAGGGTGTTGTGTGTGTGTGGTGACACTGCAGGGTGTGGTGAGTGTGTGGTGACACTGCGGGGTGTTGTGTGTGTGTGGTGACACTGCAGGGTGTTGTGAGTGTGTGGTGACACTGCAGGGTGTTGTGAGTGTGTGGTGACACTGCAGGGTGTTGTCAGTGTGTGGCGACACTGCAGGGTATTGTGAGTGTGTGGCGACACTGCAGGGTGTTGTGAGTGTGTGGTGACACTGCAGGGTGGTGTCAGTGTGTGGTGACACTGCAGGGTGTTGTCAGTGTGTGGTGACACTGTAGGGGAGGCCTTCGCCGTCTCTTTTTCAAGTTTGGGGGGGGGGGTGTTCTCCAAGGGAGCGCTTGTCAGATGTCATCTCTCCACAGAGAAGTGTCTGTGGGAGGGGAGAGTCATCCAAGTGGGGAACGTGGCCAGCCCAGCGGAGCTGAGAGCGCAGTCGGATGGTGTGGATGAGAGCGCTGTCGGATGGTGTGGATGAGAGCGCTGTCGGATGGTGTGGATGAGAGCGCAGTCGGATGGTGTGGATGAGAGCGCAGTCGGATGGTGTGGATGTAAGTGTGACAGGCAGGAGACCCAAATTCGATTCCCCAGAAGGGAGAAGGTTTTTGTGTAGTATCTTGGACTTTGTGCTGCGATGTTGTATCCCTCTCAGCCCGGGTCTGTCTGCTGGGATACTGTATCCCTCTCAGCCCGGATTGGCCCAGACAGGCTGGGTGGGAAGCCCGCCTCCTAAATGATCTGAATATATTGTGTCCATGGAGGCGTAAAATGCGCCTACATTTAAGAATAAACAAATAAATAGAAGTTGTCAAACAAGCAATATTTTGTTCCGTCTCTTACCACATGAGGCCTGTCCTTCCCTGGTCTTACCACATGAGGCCTGTCCTTCCCTGGTCTTACCACATGAGACCTGGTCTTACCATATGAGGCCTGTCCTTCCCTGGTCTTACCACATGAGGCCTGTCCTTCCCTGGTCTTACCACATGAGGCCTATCCTTCCCTGGTCTTACCACATGAGGCCTGTCCTTCCCTGGTCTTAC